CATCCCCAAAAATATTCCTCTTTTTTCATTTTTTGTCCCCTTCCCGGGAAAATGCTCACATCCTAAATTAAACTTCACTCACTAGTTGGTCTTCAATGCAGAATAATGTGGCGACAGCAAACAAGGAATCTCTGCAGCGTCACTGGTGGACGCTCATTAAAGGCGGAGAAATGGGACGCGCTGGTGATCGGGGGCGGCCACAACGGCCTCACAGCCGCCGCCTACCTCGCTAGATCAGGCTTGTCCGTCGCGGTCCTCGAGCGCCGCCACGTCATCGGCGGCGCTGCGGTCACTGAAGAGCTCGTCCCCGGCTACAAGTTTTCCCGTTGTAGCTACCTCCAGAGCCTCCTTCGCCCTGCACTTATCAAGTCTCTTTCTGTTCCACATACTGAATTACGCACAAACATACATAATTGATGAATTTGCTGTTAAGTTTACGTTTTTGATTGATTAGGTGTTTTTTATGACAAAGGGAATTGGAGTTGAAGAGGCATGGATTGAAGATGTTGAAGAGGAGTCCATCGTCATTCACTCCCTGTCTAGATGGACGCTACCTTCTGCTTGGTCCTGATAAGGAGCTTAATTATTCGGAGATATCGAAGTTCTCGAAACGCGATGCTGAGGCTTATCCTAGGTCAGCAATCGCATCTTGTATTTTTCTGGGTGAAGTGTTTGTATTCTTCATTTTTTTACTCTATTAAATGGTAAATCAAAAAATGGAAAGACTTGTTCTTGAGTAATCTAATGGTGGTCACGTCATTATATTTAGCACAACCTATAAAATTAGATGAAGGAAAAACTTGTGGGGAGATAGGAAACAGAAATGGGTTGGATAAATGTTGAAATTGTTGACAATATCTTTAATCGATTAAAAAATGCAACGGTGTGACGAGTGAAATGAGCTCTCTGAAAATAGTTTTAGGAAAACAATAGGTTTTAAGGCATATTTGATACAAAGTATTAGACTGGAGTGCAGAGTATAATGGTCAATATTTTAGCTTATTTTTCTTATTTAATTATGTCAAGTCATCTTGCAAAACAACCCGTTAATATGGGATCCTTGGATTTGGGTAGTAATCGAATTGAATAGTAATAGGACTCATTCTGTTTCTGAAGACCTTTTTTAAGCTCGAATTCTTCGATGAAGCAATTGAAAGTGGTTGTGGAAAGTAGCACGCATAGGCCGTAAGTCCTATTAAATTTATTTTGGTTTTATCATATATTCACTGCTAGGTTTTGAAATGTGCATATGATTTTTATCATCCTTAAATAGCTTATTCTGTTGGCGCATAAATAATATGGTTGAACTGGTGATGTGAACAAACAAAATGGGAAAAATTTATGATTCAAATTTTTTCGCATTTTTTCTTTCCTGGTACAAAATAATTCGATGAAATACAATTGGCATATCTATTTCTCTCCCTTATTATTGTATCTGCACTTGGTTCTCATATATAGGTACGAGAATCAGTTAGAGAACTTCTGTAAATTCATGGATCCACTTTTGGATTCATCTCCACCTGAATCTTTGCAAGGAATCTCATCTTTTAATGCCCGGATGAAGAGCAAATTACAGAAGTCTGTTTTTTGGGCTCATTGTCTTCGACGAGCACTTGTCTTGGGGCAAAAGGAGATGGTGTAAGAGTTCATTTTCTCTTCTAAGTTGGATTCATCTTAGTTGCATTTTGTTAGGTGGTCTCTTATCTTGCTAATTATGAGAGACAATATCCCTGTGTAGGTATTTGTTTTAGCTTAAGTAGAGACTGACTTCTACCAACTAATGCACAAGTTCTTGGCTCACTTTCATTGAACTTCTCAGGGATTTCATGGACCTATTACTGTCCCCTGCCTCAGTGATTTTAAATAACTGGTTTGAGGTAATAACATGATTGTTGCCCCCACTAAATTTGAATTATACATTGCAGCAATAATGTATTTGTCTATGGAAGTATGTGTTTTTGTATTTCTGAATAACCATGATCTTTATCCTTTATTCTTTAAATTTGAAAATAATTTTTGTGCCACAAACTTGGCCTGTTGGTTTGTTTGCTATTTTTTCTTTTGTCGGCTCTTCTTTTTTTCCCTCTATTTGTATTTCTCTCACATCCATGTCATACTATTTTTTCCTCGACTGTCCTGTCAAAGCTCCAAAGGTTTCTCAATGGAAGCTATGCTGCAACAAGTCTTTTTGGCAAATATCAAATCTCTTATGTATCTTTTCCACATAATATTTGCTGTTAACCTGGAAAAAGTTGTGGGAAGGAAATGGAACTGAATCATGACCTGATCTTTGCATGGATTTCTAGATAGGTTTATTGCAGTAATAATAGGATGAGTTTAAACTGCTTATGTCAGCTAACTCACAGTAGTGTGGCTGGGTTGCAGATGCTTTTTGGAAGTGTTCCTGGCCAATCATCTCTTCCTCCTAGTTTCCCAGCAGAACTAAAATATATTCAATGCATCAAAAACAGATTAATTTGGACCTGTTGGTATTTACCTATTAAATTGTGTTGTTTTTAAATGCTTTAGAGAACTTTGCGCCATGTATTATTTGCATCGTTGTCATCATCATTATTATTTAAAATATTACACTTCGTAACTTTATTTCTTTAAATCCCACTCACTGAAAAGTTTTCCATTTCTTGACTTCATAATTGACAGAATGATGTCTTGAAGGCAACACTTGCAACGGATGCTGTAATAGGAACCACGGTGAGAACTGTACTTCCTTATCATATTATGATCTCTGATGTTAATACATACAGGATTGTTGTTACTGAAAGATATCATTTTACCTAGGACCCCATGGGATTCTGTTTTTGTAATTTCATTTGCAACGGTAATGCCATATTGTATAATTGAATGACAACCCATCCAGGCTGAAGTTTTCATTGTTCTATAAACGAAAGGCTGCAATTATTTCCCTATTTCAGTAATAATTCTTGCTTGTATTTGATGTAATTGCTAAGATATATCACATGTCTTATAATTCTTAGCAGCCTTCAGTTCTTACATTAACTTTTCCCTGAGAGTGAACAGGATCTATTTTTGGTGAGAAAAATTCAAGTTTGCTTTCCAAATTTTATGCCTTAGGCAGAAATGCCAAAGAAATTTTAGACATTTGAGGGGGTGGTGGTTTATATCAAAATTTACAGAACAAAAATATGAGGGGTTACCTAGAAGCAACACCAACTCTTAGGAGTATCTATAACGTCAAACTAGTGGAAATGTCTAGTCATCTTTGACTTGTGTTGGCACAGTTATCATAAGTCCTTCATAATAACACAAATATCATCATTTTTTTTTTCATTCCGTATTTAGCAACATTTTGTATTGATGTATGGCTCTTGGTGCCCTCATCTAGTATCCATAGGTGATGGTGGGTGCAAATGAAAGATATAGAAGATAAAAATTCAAAATTTCATTTTATACATATATACTATGGATAATTGCAGCTGAGACCCCAAACCTTTTAAAAAGTTACAGACTTTTCCTAACCTTTCATTTGTTGCAATCGTCATCCCAAACCTTTCAAAACGTTGCGGATGAAGCCCCAATGGATGAATTCCATCCATATTTCTATTAGTTGACCAAAAAATTGGACTTTGACCATATTTTAATCAATTATAAAATGAAAAAATGGTAACTTTATATTTTTCACATTAAAAACCTTAAATAAAAAACAACACAAAAGAAAGAAGAAAATAAAATGAAAAGGTTAAAATATTTTTTTCTCCCTCACCCCTACCCTAACCCTTCAACCCAAAGCCAGAAATCTACCGTCGCCACCACCTGGTCCAAAACTGACCGTTACCCTCACAATCACTACCATCACCACTCTCCAAACTTCCAGTCTCATTTGCCCTTCGCCAATTCTCCACCACCTCCAAATCAAACTCCCCCACCTCAAAATCCACCATCATCACCCCGTTCTCATCCACCAACCCAATCCTCTATACTGCCAGTGGATATGGCGAAGGGGACACCCAATTAGAAGGAAGCGAAAGTGATGAAGTAGAATTTTTTCGTAACTTCATGAATTTTGATGAGAGGAAAAGAAAATAAGTTGCTGAGAAGAGCCATCAGAAAAACGCTTGCCCAAGTAGAAGAAAACTACTAAAAAGAGTAAGAAACCATATATTTTGGCTAATGTGGCCGACTTGCACAAAATTGATCCAACTACATTACTCATTGTGTTTATTAAAAATACTCAAAATTTTCAAAACTCTAGTATTGTTGTAGATTCAATTTTCAAAACTCTAGTATTGTTGCAAATTCAAACTTTACAGTGTTTAAATTTATTCCTGTATGGCTCGAGGTGATTCAAATGCTGTTATTGTAGTTTTCCATGAACGAGGGAGGGAAAATTGTGGTGGTCAATGCCTATGAACGGGTTTTTGGGCCAGGTGGTGGTGATAGTAGATTTCTTGTTTTGGGTTAAGGGGTTGGGGTTGTAGTGGGGGTGAAGGTGAGGGTGAGGAAGAAGAAGATAATTTTTTCCTTTTCATTTTTTTCTTCCTTTTGTGTTGTTTTCTATTTACAGTTTTTAATATAAAAGATATAAAGTTACAATTTTGTCCTATTATAATTGATTAAAATGTGGTCAAAGCCCAATTTTTTTGGTCAACTAACAGAAATATGGATGGAATCCATCCATTGGGACTTCATCCGCAACGTTTTGAAAGGTTTGGGTGATGGCTACAATAAATGAAAAGTTAAGGAAAAGCCTGCAACTTTTTGAAATGTTTGGGTTTCAACTGCAATTATCCCTATATACTATTAGCGCCTTTCATTTTGTTTTGCTTTTACTTGCTTTGAGATCACCAAAAGTAAAGGGCTCAGATTTGGCAAAGTATTGGAGCCTGAACGGCTGAACCAAAATGCTCGAATCTGTGTGGCAAGATATTAGCTACTAAAATTTCTATAAACAATTCATGTAAATTGCACATAACGGATGTGGTATAGGGGTTGCATGACTTCTTTCAGTATCTTTTGCTTATTAGGAAATGCAGCAGATAGGTTATGAGTCAGCAGAGTGAACCAGACTTGGAGAACTTTTACGTCAAACGTTAATATTATGTTAAATTTTTTATTTAGAAGGGGAATAGGAATTGTCTTTTCAAGTCAGTCTGCATTTTGAGGATTCTTCGGAACAGTACTGTCAAAGACAGATTTTGTGGATAGTTCCTCATATTTTGTTACTAGTCATGTGGCTTGCACTAATGTTCTTCCTTATCTTGTTACATATTTTATTGGTCACTGAGGCATACATTGATGATCATGTATATTATTTTTATGCATTTTTTAGGATCAATTACGAAAATAGTGCTGTATCTGTATTATTGAAGCTTCATTGATTTTGATCTATTATGTATTAATGAGGTTTGTCACTTTTCTGTATCTTAGGGTAGTCCCAATACACCTGGGAGTGGATATGTTTTACTGCATCACATGATGGGAGAAACTGATGGTGACCGCGGAATTTGGTCGTAAGTATCTGCTTGAAGATGATCCAAGGGAATACAAAGAATACTAGTATTATCGTTCATTGTTCAAAT